AAAGCATCTGTAAGCCAGGCATGGTGGCACATGCCTTTAATCCCAGCAGTCAGGAGGCAGAGGCAGAGGCAGAGGCAGAGGCAGAGGCAGAGGCAAGTGAATGTCTTTGAGTTCAAAACCAGTCTGGTGTATATATCAAGTTCTAGGATAGTCAGAGGTACATAGTGAGACTCTGTCTCAAAAAAATCAAAACCAAAAAGAGCAAATAAGTTTCTGCAGGCACGGATATGAACTCTTCTCAAATTCAAGACAATTTCTTCCAGGGAAACAGAACTGAGAAGGACACAAGACCACGTGAATCAGTACCAAGAGATTATGCAATGAACAGTATGATGATAACTATGCTTAGTCACAGTGGTTAATACTTATTGGTGGCAAGTCAAGGAACACTGTCTACTTCAATCTGGGCTTGATTACAACCACATGGGTAGACATTAAGTTCTATGGAATGCCATAGCAATCCACACCAGAAAAAAACAAGTTACTCAATCCAGATTGCACACATACATCAATGCTGTAGATACTGGTATAATTAGTTCATGAATACAGGCCTTTCCCAGGGTCACTGATGGGAGCTGAGGTACCTGACCTCACACAGCTGTTCTTTACTCTTTTTTCTATTTTTTCCATTTGTGTACACACCTATGCATGCTTGCAAGTGTGTGTGCACACATGTATATGTGCTATCATGCATGTGGTGGCCTGAGGCTGTTATCGATAACCACCCTCGACCCCTCTTCACCCTATTCATTGAGGCAGGGCCCCTCAGTCAAAACCAGAGCTCACTGATACAGCTAGTTTGGCTAGCTAGCTCACTCTGGGGACCCCATCTCCACTTTCCAAGGCTGTAATTACAGATGGGCTGCGACAACACACCTACCTGCCATTTATGTGGGTTCCAGGGATCCCGTCCTGATGTTTGCATGGGAAGTGCTTTAACCACTGAGCAGTCTCCCCAGATCTTTACCAATGACTTAAACCAACGATTACCACATCCTGCTGCTTGGTTTCATGTAAGTTTCAGCCTAGTTCATTTAATATTCATGGTACGTGCATGATATACAATATATAATGTCTGTGGTACAGGTCTGACATATGTCATTTAATATCCATGATATATACATGACATACAAAGCAGATGTTTCTAATGACTCTTCTTCCTCCCCCTTCCCCCCTCTCTTCCTCTGTTCCTTTCCCCCTCCCTTCCTTCCTTGTCCAACATGAGAAGAGGATCCTTTTGCACTGCTCGTTCAGGATGATTCAGGGGCTTCGAAGGCTCTGGGATTAGGTGTAACTAACAAGTTTCCAGAAGTGCAGAGTCCTTGAGTCATCCCCACAGCGTTTTCATTGTTGAGCCTTCCTTCAGTTGTCCTGCTAGACTATGAAGTCCACGGCGCCAGCATGCGCCTTGTTCATTTGACCTGGCTGCAGCACCACACCCAGCAGAAGGAACCGGAGTACACTGAAGAGTGGATGAAAGTGACCCATGCACGGTGACAAGGCTGCCACCCAGCAGGTTTCGATTCTACTAACCGGCTGAGAGAGAATGCCTCTTATACACCTTTCCTTCTCTGGAGACACACGGTGACACCTACTTGTAATTCCAAGGTCCAGCAATGGCAGATGAAAGAACTCATCCGAGCCAGTCTATGACTCAGGAGGTCATTCTGAATGGAGGGAGAAGGAAGAGGAGGCAAGGTGACTGGGGCTTGCAGGAGGACACATCACTTTTCCCACTAGACTCTAGTGACTAGAGGATAATCCCAACAACCTCCGAACAAACGATTCTGCCTTATGCCAGGCCCTGTGCTAAGAAAACACCCAGAGCCCGTCACCTCTCTTCATCTTCTCTACAAACCTGGAACACAGACACTTACTTATCCCTTAAGAAAGGAAACTGAGACATGGGTTAACCAAAGCCTAAGAGGTCAAGTCAGGACTCACACCTGCACCATCCAGCTCTGGATACCATGTCTATAATGAATAGCCTATTGCAGCGAGATGATTCCAGGGACAGGAAACGGTTGCCTGTGCATGGGGGCAACTTTACTTAGCTCAGTGGCCTGATGTGATACAAGCTCTGAGAGAGCCCAGTTATGTGGGTTGAGGAGAAACCCATTATGTGTACAAGAGAGGAGCTTCATATCCAGAAGCCCTCATATACATGTGACTAGGTGCAGAAGAAGTCCTTGTATGCAAGAGACCCCCTCATATGCAGAGGCAGCCCTTTACATGCAGAAGTGGCCTCATATGCAAGAGATTCTTCATATGTAAAGGCAGTCCGTGTATTCAGAAGGGGACCCTAACATACAGAAGCATCCTTCATATACAGGAGGAAACCTCATGTGAAGAAGTCGGAAAATGCCACGTTGAGAAGAGTAGCACCTAGTTAGCTTTCATTTCATGCCCAGTTTGACTTGATTTGCTCCCTGGTTAAATATCCAACATCTCAGAAAGGTTAGGTAAGAGGCAGCTGGGGAAGATATCTCAAAGGTCCAATTCCTTTCACACTTGGTTAGGCATCTTATGAAACCTCATTCTAAAGACTGGACCAAATCTGAGAAGACAGCCATCCCTTGGAAGGGATCAGTTCTGCTAAAGCATGTGTGTCTAATAACAAGACAACAAAACAAAATAAAAAAAGCAGGGTCTAAAGGACAGAACTTTGTTTTTCAAAAGCCTTTAAAGAAAACAATTCAAAGGTTATATTTTAATACCAGCTGTTAGAAAATGTGGGAAATAAAACAGGGAAAGAGAATGGACTGTCAGGTGGGATGTGGGGAAAAGGTAAAATTCACCTTTCTTCTTGATGAAGGATTTTCTTTTCCTTTTTTTTTCAGGACAGGGTTTCTCTGTATTGCTTTGGAGGCTGTCCTGGAACTCACTTGGTAAACCAGGCTGGCCTCGAACTCCCAGAGATCCGCCTGCCTCTGCCTCCCGAGTGCTGGGATTAAAGGTGTGTATCACCAACACCCGGCTATGAAGGATTTTCAAATAGGCAATGAGACAATAAATGAGGACAATGATACATAAAATACAGCAACAGATCAGAGTGGGACATTATGGTTAGAAGAAAGGCAAGCACGGATTTGGCTTTAACGAGCTTATCATAGTCATGCACTTTTATTTACCTTAGGAGGGGTGTGATATCGTGGGCCAAGGCCTTGCTTTGGCACATCCTCACGTTGGCCTGGAGCCCGCACACATCCCGAGATTCAGTTTCTTCATTGGCTAAACACAGACAGAGCGCACCTGCTTCCTTGGGCAACTGTAAGCCTGCAGTAAATAGTATTCGGTCGCTGTTCAAGATAGACTTTAGTCTGTTTACCCTCTTTTTCTGTGAGTTCTCTTTTCCTAAGACTCTCTTTCTCAAGCGTTTTTTTTTGTGTGTTTGTTTGTTGAGACAGGGCTTCTCCGTGTAGCCTTAGCTGTTGTAGAACTAGCTTTGGAGACCAGACTGGACTTGAACTCACAGAGCTCTACCAGCCTATGTCTCCCAAGTGCTGGCTTCTTTCAAGAATTTCTATTCCTAGCTCTTATGTATATGTTGGTGGAAATATTTGTTATTTAGTTGTACAGGTTTGTTTGTTTTGGTTTTTTTTTTTTTGTTCCTTTTTCTTTTATTTTTTGAGACAGTGTTTCTCTGTATAGCTTTGGAGCCTATCCTGGCACTCGCTCTGTAGACTAGGCTGGCCTCAAATTCACAGAGATCCGCCTGCCTCTGCCTCCCGAGTGCTGGGATTAAAGGTATCTGTCACCAACGCCCGACTTAATTGTACAATGTTAAGAAACCCATTTTCCTAATAAATATGTGTAAGAGTTGCATGTTTATATTTTTAATGGGTCTAGTCTGTTATATTGCATGCTTTATATAGGTAATACTCCTGGGATGTTAAGCATATGTTTGTTGGGTTAAACAAATAAGGACAAGCTGTTACTTTTCTGTTGCTGTTATAAAACACCATGACCAAGGCAACTTATAAATGGGAGAGTTTACCTTGGCTCAAGGTTGAAAGGCTTATGCCCTCATGAGTTGGGAGGCACGGCGTCAGGCAGGCATGGTAGCAGGAAGAATCTGAGAGATCGCAACTATAACTCTGAGCATGAAGCAGAGGGTGGGTAAAAAGTTGGGGGGGACACTATAAATATTCAAAACACACCCCTTTGAAACATCTGAAAGGAGTGCCACCAACTAGGAACTGAGTGTTTAAATATCCTATGGGGGACATTTCTCATTCAAACCATTACAAAGAGCCCAGGAAAAAAAAATGGTTCGCTGGGTTGCACTCAAAGCGCTTGATGTGCAAGCATGAGAGCCTAAGCTAAGATAGCAGGACCTCAGGGCGGACATGTCTGTGACCCCAGCACTGGGTGCTGAGAGGATCCGGGACAGCTCCCTGAGGAGTCAGTCGGTCTAGCAAGAACAGTAAGAACAGTGTGCTCCTGGGATCAATGAGAGACCCTGTCTCAAAACCACAAGATGGGGAGCAGCAGAGGAACACACCCAAAGCCAGCCTCTGGCTCTAGGCACAGGCATGGATGCACTCATTGCCCCCCCCACACGACCCTCTAAATAGAATGATATAAATCCTTAAAAAGTCAGCTTCACTCACAACTTTTCCTAGCAGCTTTACTCAGTATTCTAAATAACAATGATGCTCAAAGGAAAAAATCCATGTTTTATTCCTTTTTTGGGGGTGGGGGGTGAGACAGGGTCTCTCTTTGTAGCCCTGGCTGTCCTGGAACTCACACTGTAGACCAGGCTGGCCTTGAACTCAGAGAATCACCTCCCTCTCCCTCAATGGGATTAAAGGTGTGCACCACCACACCTAGATAATGTTTTATTCTTAACAGTGTGAAAGTTCCACAAAAAGAAACCACACTTCAATTTATATGAATCTTATTTGTAAACCATAAAGAACTAGTAAGTTTGTTATATTGTGTTCATCCTAATGCCTAGTTTCTAGAATGGTGATGTCACCAACTTAATGCCACTCATATTAAAATGTAGATCTTTACTCACTGAACTTTAGTTTGAAACATAGACACAGAGTGAAGGAAGTCAGGTTTTTAGGAAGTTATGATGACATATACAATGGACAGTAAGTCAATAAACAAGACAAACAGAATTTTCAGAAGTCGTCCCAGAATCTCATCTTCCAGGCTTTGGGGTGAAGTAGTAGAAATTAATATCCAGTTTTTACCACTCATATCCATATATTCTTGCTCCCTAGAAAATAGAAAGAAGGCAATAAGCATCTCGAAGTAAGCACATGTATATTCCTAATTTCTTTGGTGAAGACGAGCCTTCCAGTGAATGCTCTACCTATTTGTAGCCAACAAGTAAACTAAAATACTTTTTCTCCCATTCACTTTGGTGACTTTGTCATAGTTATTGGCTTTTTTATGTTGTTTTGTTTTTTAAGATTGAAGATTTAACTTTTTAAAATTTATGCATATCTGTGCTTATGTGTATTTGTACATGAGTGCAGTGCCCTCAGAGGCCAGAAGGAGATTTGGATCCTCTGCAGCTTGGGTTATAGACAGTTGGGGACTATCTGATGTGGTGCTGGGAACTGAACTGGGGTCCTCTGGAAGAGCAGTATATGCCCTTAACCACCAAGTCATCTCTCCAGCCCCAGTTATTCATTGTTTTTCTGTATGTCAAACTTGCCTTTCTCTCTATAAGGAACGGGTCAAGAGACTTCCATAATGATCATTCTCTTTTTATGGTCGTCTAACTTGTTAACTGAGATTCCCACGAGAGAAGCATATGAAGACATGGGAGATGCAAGTAATAACAACATCCTTCCAAAACGAATGGCACAGGGTCATTTTGATTTCTGGAACATTCCTCAAGACCTCTCTTGTATGTTCTGACCACTGAGTATAATATCATCAAACATCCCTTTTTTCACAACTCCAGGCTATAAAAACCTTTGTCTGTTTCATTTTGTTTTGAATGGCTGGAACCTTAAACAGTGCTTACCCATGACTGGTTTCCCACACTTTAGGATCTTTTTAACTGAACATCTAGTGAGGTGGGGAGGGGTTAATGTCATTCTTAACTTCCTTTCCAGAAAATGAGCAGGCAAATGAACCCTTTTCCAAGACTCCAGCTGAGACTCTGTATACCCTCTCAAATGACCACAAAGACCTTAACAGAGTGGCAAAATTTGCGTGGTAAACCATTTCATCAGGAATTCTTCACTCAAAACTAAAACAGGCAAGGTGAGGGCTAAGAGAGACCGATGAACGCTGTGCTCCTCCCACTTTGAGGAATCTTCATTGATTTCTGTACAGACTGGCTCCGTTCTGCATTCTAACAGAAGGGAACACCTTACCCAAGTTATACAGCAGTCCCTGGCAGAGCAAGCAACTAGAGTCCTTTCAGTCACTCACAATTTCTCTTGCCTGCGTTTCAACTGAAGAGGGGGCAGGGCGCGAAAGACACACCGCTTCATGAGTGACCTTCCCTCCCTCTCGTGGTGGGAGCCTTCAGCCTGGGTATCCTCACTCAGGGCTCCCTTGGGGGCCTTTCCATTCTCCCCAAAATCAGGAAAGAAAAGGAAAGAAAGAGCAATAGGTAAGTGCTGGAGAGACAGGGGGATGGCAAGAGAGACCCGCTTCTCACCTGAGATCCTCAGAGGGGGGCAGGCAGCACACCTGTTTCCAACTCTCTTCTCCCGCTCTCGCTGGGCCAAAGTGCTGTGGGCACAGGTGTTCTCCTAGCAACCCTGTGCCAAAGCACATGCAAGGCTTAATTGGACTCCAACGTGCCTCGGCAAACAGAGGAGCAGTGGCCTGCATCAGGAAACTGCCACAGGACTTAAAAAAACAAAACACGGGAGGACTGTTGAAGATGTTTTTATTTTAAGACAGAATTGGGTGGTTTAGAAACTGAAAACTTAAGAGAAACATTAAAACAAACTGAAGGATTTCCCATGTAGGACAAACATCCACCACACTTTCTAAAGAAACAATTTCCTTGAAGTTATCTTTGAACAAACGCTTCACTGTCTTCATGGTAAAACATAAATACATCTCCATGTAAGAAACCATAGCTTACAAGACTGCAGGGCTGATTTTTAAATATTATAAATTTTACAAAGTAGAAAATAGGGGAGTAGATTTATAATAACCAACAAACAAGCAAATGAATGACTGTGAAATATGGTCACCACAATCTTCAACCATGTACTCTTAGCCTCCATGTACTTGGTGCCTTGAGTATAAAGACATTGCGCTCGCCAGTGCCAAGGGCAGGTATTTTTCCAGCCCCAATCACCATATCCCAGCTCTCTAATAAACTAGTTCTCTGTACAAGCTGAGTGACCTCTTCTCAAATATGATTGGGACTGGTTAATTTTCAGATTTCCTTTTCTTCAGATTTTGAATCTTATATACACGATATGTTGGGTACAGGCTCTGAGTCTAAAACAAAGGTCATTCATATTTCAATGTATGGCACCCATAAACAGTGCTTTTAGTATACCCACCCTTTTATTGCAACCCATTCTGTCAGAGCTGGACTTGGGATCTTCCAAGTGTGGGGTCTGATTGCCAGGAAGTTTGAGAGCTTGGGATGTGGGGTCTCCACCTCTATTCCACATCAGGCAAACAGGTTAAGGTCATGAGAAGTAAATCACATATTTAACACATTTACCAAGTAGACACATACAGGCAAAATGTTAAATTATTTTAATGACATAAGAAAAATTAGAAAATAAGAATGGTCACTAAACCATTATTCAGCCATGGATAGAGCATAATAAATCCATTAAAATGATGGTTAATACACATATAGAAATCATAGAGGGGGAGGGCACGGGAGGAGGGGAGGGAAAGGGAGTGGGACCTGGAACTGACTTGTGAACCAACCATGTTTCTAATCTAAATTTAAACTTAAAAATAAAAAAATTTAATAAAATAAAAAAATCATAGAAACATCACTTAGAAGATGATGCTTTCATATTTTACAGTGGTCACAATACCTCAATACATCACACTCTCTGAAAGAACCACATGGCTTCCTTAGGAAAAGCATGTATCTAAATGATCTTCATATTATCTTTAACTTGAGACAACCCAAACGCACTTGGCTTCTAGGGTCTTGGACCTGACTGGGCAGTAAGGGAATGAAAACACAGACACAGACAAGCTGGGAACATGTGGTCTGGGCTCTTGGCTGGAGAAACCACAGCATTTTGGAAGCTCAGGGTATTTATATAGAGTTGAGAAGAGAGGTGGGGTCATGTAACACAGATAGACAGGAGTCAGGGTTATGGTGTCCAGATGGATCAAGGGGGCAGGTTTAACCAGTCAGAGTAGGGGCAGTTTCTGCGGGGGAACAGTCTTCATGCTATAAACATCCAGGGCAAGAAAGCTACAGCAGACCGTCTCTGCACACACTATCACCATCTGCACAGAGACCATGCACCATTGTCCTCTGAGCCTCACTCCATGGGAGAAGGCTTTGCTATTTTCTTCATAGGGTCTGAGGCTCTCGGGTCCTTGACATACATGGTCATGGCCATGCCCATGTTGACAGCACACATTCACTCAGGACTTCACTCACTCAGGCTTTCTGTGCTCCCTACAACATAATAACGGAATGCCATGTCGCAATGACAATTAAACTACAGCGATAGACAAAACCTTACAAAGACTAAATTGAACCCTACAAAGCAAGGCACAAAAGCAAACACAGTGTCAGCACTTTGACATAAAGTAGAGAGCTTGGGCACCACATCCAGTTGAGGAGTATATATGTGGGTGTAGGGAGAGATCTTAAGTACCTATAGCACTGACCACGCCCAAATGGGCATGGTCACAGGTAGGAGGGAGAAGGCAGAGGGATAAAAAGCTAGGAGGAAGGGGACTCTTGGGGTTCTGGTCAAGTCTCAGAGACCAGCGGACTGCTGAGCTCAGGTTCTCAGCTTCTCATGTAAGTGACTTCCCCCTCAATAAATATTATATGACAACCTACCCTGTGTAGCTCCATATTCCGTGCTACGTGGGCAATAGTGGCTTGAAGGGTAAATATGAAGAAGGGAATGGATACTGAGTTAATGTTCTGGCTGTGACAACATGTGTCACAAGAAGCGATTTAAGGGAGTGGGGTTTATTAGAACTCATGGTGTGAGGGCATGGAGTCCATCACAATGAGGCAGGAGCATGAAATGTCTGGTCACACCACAACTGCAGTCAGGAAGCAAAGAGAGGTGTAGACTGGTCCTCAACCCATTTCCTCCTTTGAGTTCAATCTGTGGGATGCTGGCCATCCCCATTCCAGGTGGTTTTCTCTCTTCAGTTAAACCTCCTTGAAAGCACCTTTAAAAATAGCTATTGTTCCTCCAGTCTTAGGTAACCAGGAAAAGTAATTTCACTGACAGTGTTCTCCCTGCTCTGTTACATTTAAAGTAGTCCATATTGATTGGTTTTGTTAAACTATCACTATAACAAATATGAACAAATTGAACATTACATTTGTCAGTGAAATGTTCCCATGAAGATATATGATTGATAAAATCACCAAGCAAACCTGTTCCCATTTCATTCAAAACAGGAACTTGTCGGAGTCTTGTTTATCTCTTCCCCTTGATTCTAGATCTTAATCCCTAGTAGATACAAGCTTGTTTGTACCAGTATCAACTGTGTCAACATGAACACTTACAGATTTTTACCGTGGGCTAAAACATTGAATATCACAATTTTTTGATATCAATTTTTTCCTACTGTGGAATATGAATTTCTGGAGGTATGCTATTTAGTAGCATCAATTTTTCAGGAAAAAATACTTCCTAGTTGTCATTATTTTTCAATCTGTGAGTTCTAGCAGAGCTTTTAACTTGCTGACTTGCTTGAAATTTATGCGTATTTTTGTAGCATGCCTTATCAGTCTCTCCAGATCTTGTTCTTATCTCAAATGTATTTTAAAATTGTAAGACAGGACCTTCGACTTTTGATGTGATACTCAAGGTTATTTGTGGTCAAGTTTATTTTATATTGAAGCACAAAAATAACCATCATGAACACTTCTGCTTGTCTTTTCCCATTTTCAGAGGCCCAGAGGTGTTTGTGGAGTATATTTAAATATATATATATATTTTAAAAAATAGAAGAAATAATAGCATGTAGTCTTACAAACTTTGAAGTTTTCCATCAACTCCATCAAGATGTTGACGCAAATAATATAATTCATCACCAGGTTCATTTGTTTACAGAGCAGCTCAGCAAGTGGCATTCTCCAAAGAGAGTGAGATGGGTGGTCCCCAAAGATTAGTTTCTTCTCCTTCCTACTGCTCCTAGCTTGCAAGCCCTTGCCTCAACGCTACAAATAACTTTTTTTTAAAGATATGGAAATAATACTGATTCCTGGGACCACAAGAGAAGTATATTTTCTAATTGGTTTGATCCCCTAGCAAAATGAGCAAGCAAACAAAACTCTATTACATAGCAGCATATCTTCACTCTTTTCTGTCAACCATCACTTTCCCCCCTTCCTTGGGTGTGGGTTTTGAGACTCTTTTACTATTTAAAAAAAAAAAACACTTTTCCTTGGATTCAGTGCAGAAGTCTTAAAACATGCGAGTCATGCTTCCAATTTTTTTTTGTTTTGACCAGAGCTTTCTAAACCTATCCCATATCTTCATCTACATCCAACGGTTAAGATAATATCTCCCAAAGTTCCCTTGAGACACACGTAAAAGAGTGAGACCACTGAAAAATGCCAGCCATTGTAGTAAACTTTATTCACCCAGGGTCTGCAGTGAGGTGGGCTCTTCACATACTCCAGGGAGTTTGGAACATTAATTGGTCATGGTTGCCAGCCTCCTGGGACACGCCCAGAGTGTTAGTGCCTCCAGACATCACACTCTCAACTCCACAGTCTGGGTAACACTTTAAGATTAGCCTTTGCTTCAAAAGGGGTCACATTTGCAGGGGAAACTGGTTGTTTTCAATGACACTAATAGCCACATTGCTTTGCTGGCACAAGCTCCTCTCTAGAAATGTGAATGGCCTGTAGGACAGTGGGGTGCACTTGGAGCCTGACAACGCTGAATTTTCCAGACTATCTTTTTATCTTTTTTTTTTTTTTTTTTTTTTTTTTTTGGTTTTTTGAGACAGGGTTTCTCTGTATTGTTTTGGAGGCTATCGGTCCAGCCCAGCCTCGAACTCACAGAGATCCACCTGCCTCTGCCTCCCGAGTGCTGGGATTAAAGGCGTGTGCCACCACTGCCCGGCTTTCCAGACTATCTTTACAGCAGGGAAGTGCTGTTTTACTCACATTTGGGCAATCTGCCCTCAGTCAGTGGGACAGTCCCAGATCACAGGTCATGATCACGCCTCACAATGAGGTCAGCTGGAAATAAGTTGTTTTGTTGGACTTGGTTTCACCTTGAAGTTCAGACCAGCCTTGGATTCCTAATGTAGCCCAGGCTGGTCTCAAACTGACACTCTCCCGGGGCCTCCCAAGTGCTAAGATAGCAAGAGTATGCCACCATCTACTGTTTGTCATCTTGTTTGTAACCACTGTCCTTTACACCTGAAGGGTTTCCCTCCTTGGTTTGCTCCTTGAACATCCACTAGACATAAGAGAATGACCGTAGTCCACGGCGGTTGAGAGAAAGATCTGGATTCAGACTGACAAGATTTGAGCTTCAGGTCTACCTCTTAACGTAGGACCTCAGCCAGTTCCACTGACCCCCGGCATCAGCTAACACTTCTGTAACCTGAGGTGGTGAGAGCATCTTCCACTTAGGATGAT